GAATGTTAATGTCCCCAAGAACCAGGAAGAACTGGATTTATTTACCGCAGTTCCCGAAGACTGCCTACAAACAAGGTTTCCAGGACAATGAGCAATACTTGGGAGAGCAGGGCGGGGAGAAGAAAAGCCAAAAAAGCAAGCACAGACATAAGAAAACACGAGAGCCAGTAGGAAAGAAGAAATAACAAGGAAGAAACAAGAATCAAGTTTCCAATATTAGAATCATCACATATAAATCTAAAACAGCCACACATACATAGTATGCTGAAGAAAACCAAAATAAGCTTGAAAATGTCTACAAAGAACAGAACACTGTAAAATAAGAATGGGTTAGAAAATAATAAAATACAACTTCGGGAACTGAGACAATAACCTATTGGATGTGTGTATTCAGCAGCAGGTTGAAGATACAGTTGAAGTTGGAAGCAGCTGAGAATTAATTAGATCAGAAGAATTAATCCAGAATGCAGCACAGAGAAATGAAGAGATGGGACAAAACAGCAAGGCTTTAAGGGATGGAGGACGGCGGAGCGGGATCCAACCTCCTGAGTCACAGCTGCGGTAGGAAGACAAGAGGACAGCGAGGCACAACCGCAAGGAGCTAGTTGAAGAGGACTTTCCAGGTTTTATTTTATTTTTTAAATTTTTATTTATTTATTTGAGAGAGAGAGAGATCACAAGTAGGCAGAGAGGCCGGCAGAGCAGAGGGGAGGAAGCAGGCTCCCTGCTGAACAGAGAGCCCGATGCAGGGCTGGATCCCAGGACCCTGAGATCATGACCTGACCCGGAGGCAGAGGCTTAACCCACTGAGCTACCCAGGCGCCCCGAAGAGGACTTTCCAGAATGACAAGTTCTATCAGTTAAAGAAGCACAGTGAAGCCCACGCATAATAAATGGAACAATGGGAAAAACAGACCCATAAAGAGAAACTCACAAGCAGTGGGGGCAAAGATAGGTTGCCCTAAACAAGTAACAGACTGACCTCTAACTTCTCAATAGTGACCATGGAAACCAAAATTATAGTGATCTACTCAACATCTGAAAGAATACAGCTGCTAGCAAAAATACTCTTCAGGAATGGGAGTGAATCCGGCAACTGGTAGACGAGAGAGTTTGCCAGCAGCAGGCCCTCACTAGAGGAAATCCTAGTGGCAAAAGAAATGTGTGTGATGGAGTGTAAAGTTGTTGTTGTTGTTGTTTTTTTTAAAGATTTCATTTATTTATTTGAGAGAGAGAAGACAAGCACAAGCCAGGTAGAAGAGAGTCAGAGGGAGAAGCAAAAAAAAAAAAAAAAAAAAAATTGTAAATATATAAGCAAATCTGAGTGAATCTTAACCATATGCAACAATAATCATCATTGTATATTTCTGGGTATTTTTGATGTGTGACATGCAATGTACATCCTTCCTTGTAACTTCTGTGAAGACTTATGGTACTCTTCTGCATTTGGAGAACTGTTTTTGTGTCGGCATGCTTCTAGATTTGGTGCAGTGACATACTAAAATTGGATTTAAGATAAAATACGGTGGCTCAGGTGACCAGGGTATACCCAGATTACCGTGTGTAAATAATCCACGAGAGAAGACAACTTTAGAAATATGCAACTGGTTTTATTATCCCATGGTATTTACTAGAGGAAGAATTCTGGGTTAATTATTTATTTTCCGATTGGTTTATTTATTTATTTTTTAAATTTTTTCGAATAAGCTGTCCTTAAGCTGGACAGCTTTTATTGCCAGCAGAGGCTCTGACTCACCAGTACGTGGCTCTGACTGTAAAACCTTCTGCAGACAGCACAGGGAGCTCTGGCTCCAGAAGTCAGTTAAGAGAAATACCAGTAGGTTGCGAAGGGAAGGGGGGGAGTAGCTTTCATCAAGAAAGTCCTAAGACCTAAACATAAATCTAGGATACTGAACTTAGTGGTTACAGATTACAAACCCAAAGCACAGAGCTGCCCCAATATCCACACAGTCTTTCATACTGACTATGAACGCATGAAAACAGATCAGTTACAAACAAAACAAAACAAAACAAAACTTAGTTGTTATGCGGTTCTTTGGTGAGCACCTGGATATGCAGCTTTATCACAAACTGTTTTATACAAATATCAAAAATGCTTTCAACAAATCTAATGTCCTAATTACACGCCATTTTTAAGCTTCAATTTAAAATAAAACTGGAAACAAGAATTTTGTTTCCAACTGGTTTTAGACAAAGTGGGTTTTCAAATTAGGGGGGAAAAAAAAAGCCCTTAAACAAAATTAAATGGACCAATCAGATGGGGACGGTCGCTGAAGTTGACACTACCATTTTGCACAAATTCACTGATTTAGGAATCGGATTTAAATACATACCAAACTATTAGAAGGAAACGTTTGACTCCTTGCTCTAGTATTAAAGAAAAAATTCTTAACAGCTACCAATCAATCAGTCAGGGAGGCTAGAAATTGTGTTGATGCAGAAGGAAATACAAGGTAAAAATTTCCGTGGCTTTTTGGAACGCAATTTATTCCTCAGCTGTTCCAAGAAGGAAGGAAATTCTTAAAAACAAGAGTTACTGAGAAACATGCCAAAAGACACGCCAGTGTAATCTGGATGCTTGGAAATCTGAACATATTTTAGCCTTCCAACAGAGCACAACACTCAGACCGGCTGAGATTTCTACAAATCACTAAGTAAAGCGGTGCTAGGCCTGGATCCCCCAGGCGCCCAGGGTCGACTGGCAGCACAAACAACGCAGTGGGGTGGGCACAGGCGATCAGTGTGGTGCCGGTACAGACTTCTGCCTTAAAAAGAGTCAGGCTGTGAAAACAGACTGAGGATTACATAAGGCTATGAGGTAGAAGTCACGTGTGGGCTGGACAAAGGGTTCTCAGCAAAGAAAACTGTGGTCTTAAAGAGTACCTTCTCCTCTGCTTTGGGCGTGTTTTCAGGCTGTCCTGCCTGGCAGTGAGGTACGTATAGAGGAAGGGAGTAGAGCCCACCACTCTTGCCAAAGTTGAGCTCAGAAAGAAAGAACTTTTGGGAGAGCTTCATTTGTGGGGAGAAAGCAGAGGGAAGACGGGCAGCTGAGCTCTGTTGATCATGCAGGAAGAAAGTCATTAACCATAAACCAGACACAGTGACTAACACATCTGTGTGATTCCGTTGACCCTGCAGTTTCTAGTATTTGTTATTTTTATAATTTCATTTCTCTGTTTACTATGGCTGCATAAGAAACTGCTCTGAAGCCAGTGGCATTAAACAGCCAGTATGTGATGCTCATGGATTCTGTGGGTTGGAAATTTGGACAGGACACAGGGAATGGCTTTCCTCTGCTTCATGGTGTTTGGGTCCTCAGGTGGGAAGACTTGAAGACTGAGGATGATCCGAAGGTGGGAACCTAGAATCATGCCAAGGGCTCACTCGTTCCCGGGTCAGGGGCCAAGGGGGTTATCTACATGTGGCCTCCCTGTGTGCTCTGACACCCTCATTCACAGCACCATGGACCCAGAGTGGGTGGCATTTTGGCGTGTTGGCTACCACGTGGCAGTCACAGCCCCTCCTCCATCCTGTTCTCAGCTCACATGGGGTCACTTCTGCTGCATGCTGTCGATGACAGGCGTGTCCCGAGCTGGCCCACATCACATGTGAGGACACAGACCACAGGCATGTCAGAATCGCGTTGGAAAATGCAGTCTCATGCATTCATCTATTTCACCGCAGTGACCACAGGTAAAACCTTTAAAAGAAATTGTCTGTGTGGGAAAAGTTGCCTTTTCGGGGAAACAAGGGAAGTGGCTCTGGTACCTCTGAGGGCCATCAAACCTCCTACAGATGATAGTCAAGAGAGCAGTGGGGCTGGGCCGGGCTGGAAAAGTAAGTGCCTCTGACAAGGGGCCCCAGGAAAGCCTGTGACGGACAGGGCTGTGCCATCTCACCGCGGGCACTGTGATGGGGTGGAGGGCCTCGCGGGAGCTTCCAGACTGCTCACTTTGACTCATTCATATGATCTGAGTGCACCTGCAAAATGCCTCCCCTGGTCTTGGTGTCCTGAGTAATAAACTCAGGGTCCCTTAGCAAGGCTAAAAGCCACGTCACTCAGTGTGGAGAGCTTGTTTGGCAGGAGACCTCCTGATGTGATCAGGAGGGCTTTGAAATTAAAATTCAGGGAAATGGAGGAAATGTGAATCTGAAATATAAAACAAGAAGTTGAAATTAATGTATCGTTTACATAATACGTCATGCGGTGATTTCAGATGAATTTCCACTTGTGCCGTGAGCCTGAGATGGCAAATAAAGTTACTCCTTTAATAGAAGGCAATAAAGCTGGGCACCACCCCTTGTCCTCCCTCCCTCCCGCCTGTCCTGTTTCCCATAAACCTCTTCTTTCCTGGATTCCCTCCATCTGTCAGTGAAGTGTGACTTGGGGAAACTGATACTTAGATCCTCACCTCTTGTTAAACAGATCACACCCCTCTCCCATACCTTCCTCAACACACACTAGTTACATTTTCTCGATTCTTTTTTTAGAGGAAGTTGAAGAGCTGCGGACATCAGAATAAGATATAATCAATCACAGGAAGAGTGGACCACTTAACTGGCCACACCCAGGATAACTCATCCCTAAGCTAGCCACAGAGGAGGAGCACTGCAAGGGCCCTCAGATAAGGCCCAAAGCCAAGGTCGGTCATCTCAGATCCCACATCAGAACAAAGAATCAAAGAGGCTTTAGAGACTAGGCACCAATTCCCTCGGACCAACCAAAGGTTGTTGAGTAGAGGCGTGTATAACCAATGCTGTGTGCTCCACCCCTCCCTCCCCAGTTTCATACAAGACCTTGACATGCAAAGAAATATGTGGTCAATTAGAAGAAGAAACCACAGAGATTGTTTTCCAGGATCACGAACAATTGGTTGCCTTAAAACAAAGCTAATGCACCAGCACTGTCTTGTGGACGTTGCCAAACCTCCAGGCCCTTTTGACCCAAGTGGAGCCCTCTCTCGTCAGGAGCCTCATACCATGCATTTGTCCTAAGGTTCTGGTGATATCCTGAATGGAGAGTCTCAGTTGCTGCAGGGCTTGGAGCAGGGAGTTCTGGCTGTGCTGCAAGATGGCATTCACTCCCTGAACGAGTGCCTGAAGAGGAGATTCATTCTCTTAATTCATTATCATTCAGTCCATTGAGGGGGAGTGAGCTGCAGAGCTGTGGGAATCCAGAGGAAGGGCACCCCTGCGACTGCTGGGCTCTTTGGCAGGGCTCCCTGGGGGCCATTCCTGAACTAAATGTGCTGTGAGGTCTTCCTGAGAGCCAGAATCTTTCTGGACACCTCCCAGATAGATCCCTAGTTAAATCCTTCTGGACCTTTCCCATTGGCTGCTACTTCTTGTAACTCTCAAGGACATAACCCCATCAATTTTGTTCCTTCTTCTGGATTTACCTCACATTATGATCATTTCTACTTCTGCTTGCTCCTTCTGTGATCTTGGACTGAGGCACCTTCACTCTTGACCTCTTTTGTACATAAAATCAGACTCTATAGATCCCTCAGCTTCGGAGTCCCCTCCACTAGGAAGCCTTCCTTGTCTCCAGCAGTCTCCACCTAATGTAAGCTACATCTGGAAGACCAATACTTCTCTCCGTGTCTTTTAGTGAACAAAACACAGGAATGAGAAGTAGAGTAACCATACAGTTTCACTTTTGAGAGGTCAAGAGAGGTGTCAAAATAACTGTACCACAATCTATTCACTCCGCTGAGGACACAGTAAGCACTCAGAGCACGTTCACCAGGGAAGGCAGCAAGCAAGGGAGAAGAAGGACACAAATCTCACTTAAGTGTGATTTAAGGTAAGGTAAGGCACCAAACTGCTGTGGTCACCATCCACTTCACCTTCTTTTGTTTTACACCTTACCTTTCCATACCTGCGTGACCCCTGAAGGAGTTCAAGTTTGCAACCCCCTGGGGTGAGGAGGTCTCAGTGGTGATTCATTGACCTCTGAGGCTTTGCATAACCATTCTCTGGGCCAGGAGGAACCCCTTATTCCCACCCCCTGCTTAATTCTGTACAGCACTTGAATTTTAACTCCAGCTCTCATTTCCCTGTGCCTGACCCTGCAAGTCTGGGTTAGGTTTTAGATGTCTTTTCGTGAAACACTGACTTTTTTTTTTCTTGTTACCCTGTGCATGGGTCCATCTTCCTCCCCTGGATGGTGAGCTTCTGTGGGCACCAGAACAGTGTCTCTCTGATTCCGTGAGACATTCATTGCTTAGAACTAGGCTTGTCTGCTGAATGGACAAATGGTCATTCCAAGTTTTACCTTTGTTGATGAACGGCAGGTTTCTTCGTGGGCTAGAACTCAAACCTCTTTTCTCAGACATAAACCAACTAGGACAAAGTCTGTGCTCATCTCTATTGATTGGTTCACCACAGGGAAAGGGACTTGGTAGGAAGTAAAGCTCGCACTAATTTCTCATTTAGAAGAAAAAAAAAAGTTCTGTGGAGAAAATACCTTAATCCCAGGTACTGCTGCTTTCTCCACCAAAACAGTCACCAGTATAAAGCCACGCAGGCTGTCTCCCCCAGGAAATGAGACAATGATGTCCAAGTTCCTTGGGAAGGAAATAACCACGTGGTTAGCGAGGCTTGGAGACAGTGAGGCGCATAGCCCCCAGGCCACCTCAGAGTCAGACAACTGTGAAAGCAAATGGACTCTGAGAGAAATCCTCAGGGCTCCACAGGACAGCCCTGGGGAGGAGCATCCGCCTCCAACTGCTGAATATCCACCGGGCCAACCTGGGGCTCGTCACATCATTCCCATCAGAAGCAGAGAGTCCCAGAGCTGCAGTGACCACAGGCCAGAGCTAATTCCCTGTGCCTGTTTTAGACCTGAAACTAAGGCCCAGAGAAGCATGATGGTCTCCCCAGAGTCATGTCGCTGATGAGTCACTGGACCAGGGCAGGAAGATCTCCTAATTCAGACTAGAGCTCTTTCTCATCAGTGATTCCCCCCACCCCCACCGCAAGTGCTGTATTATAGTAAAATGACAGAAAGACTATTATACAGGGATCAATTTTAAATGAGCAGTCATCATATAGATTCAAATATCCCAGAGGTCGATCCAGTCTATAAAACTGAAAACTTCATCCATCAATCACGTCTACCTCTAACATCTTATGCATGACAAGAGATGAAAAACAAACACTAAAGAAAAATAAGTCAGGAACTCCACCGTGCCATCAGGGTCACTAGAGTGGAAAGTGGCATCTTTGCCCTTCCACCCTCCCTCTTCTGAGCTACAGCTTTTATACTGAACCCCCTCATGGGCTGAGGTTTGGCTCATTTAGAGGCTGATTTTGCTCTTTGGGTAAAGAGGAGACTGAGGATGTCTGGCCCACGGGCACCAGTCCATGCAAAACAAGACATTTCCAAGGCATTCTTCTGAACGGCCTGCCATTTGGCCATTCACAGACTTTATGGCAAGACCAGAGATCTTTTTCAGATCCTCTAACTTCAAAGAATCACAGGGAATTAGAAAACTGGTAAAGTTTTTTTTGTTGTTGTTGTTCTTTCTTTTTTTTTTTCTTTTTTTGCATTGCACTTTACTTGTTTCATTATACACTGATTGGAAAACATAGCAAAGAAAATTAATCCCCTAATCCTTACAAAGCTGAGGCACCACCATTAACTTTTGGACTGTTAATTTTTGGTACATGTCCTCCCAGTCTTTTTTTCAGGCATTTTTAGATTACATACCCTACCTAAAAACTGGTATGCTTTCATTTTTGTTTATTTGTAAGCTAGGAGTTCGTATGGATTCAAAAGTGAGTGAAGGACTTCTGAGAACTTACCCAATTTCCATGGGTCTTCAGTATTGGCAACCACAAAGAGAAAAAGAAAATAAAAGGACAAATCAATTTATAAGCTGGATTTGCCTTTTTACAGTTACCTATACACAGCCATGCACGTCTGTGTGCAAATGCACTTACAGCACACACACACCCATGCACACTTCGGATGTCACAGGAAGTGACTACGCTGTGAGCAGAACATGCCACCCCAAAATGCCCCCTTGGGCACATTATTTATTTGAATTAACATTACTTCAGAAAGGGCTGGTCCAAGAAGGACACTCTGACCTCCTTTGTTCCCCTGAGAGCAGGAAATAAATCTGCTACATGAAAGGTACCTCTCTGTACCAGGAGAATAGAAAGTGTCCTTATCACCTGCAGTAGGGAATTCAGGGCTGAGAAGCCTGAGGAAATACACCTCGTTACTCCTTCACTAATTTGCTGCCCCAAGTCCAAACCCCTTCATCTTGTCAAGTCTTCCCAAGTGTATTGCTTTCTTGTCTAAAAGGTATAGAAGCTGCTTGTTTGGGTCACTTGTTTGAGTCTCATATTTTTAGAGGCTTCCGTATGTACAAAACTAAGTTCATTTTTCTCTTATTAATCTCTCTTATGTCAATTTAATGATCAGATCAGCCAAAGAACCTAGAAGGGAAGAAGGGAGAAGTTTTCTTCTCCCGCAAGGCTCTGTGTGACAAAGAAGGAGCCAAATCTCAGCTCCTACAGGAGCCCCAGAATGTTTAGCCGGTGCCCAGCATTATAAATTATCTCCTTCCTTTTATATGTTTGTGATTACCACAAACCCACATTTCTGTTATAACTCTTCTACTCTTACTCACCTTTAGCATGTACCTTAGATGAATTTCACCCCCTCACCAAGGTGTTTCCTGATTTTTTTTTTTTAATAAGTCTGAACTTAGTTTTTCTTAATGGGGTAATTCACTTGCGTTTTTTTTATGAGTTTTTTTTTTTTAATTTTAAAGATTTTGTTTACTTATTTGTCAGAGAGAGAAAGAGAGCACACAAGTGAAGGGAGAGGCAGAAGCAGGCTCCCCACTGAGCAGGGAGCCTGGTGCAGGACTTGATCCCAAGACCCTGGGATCACAACATGAGCCAAAGGTAGACACTTAACCAACTAAGCCACCCAGGCACCCTGGCCAGAATCATTTCTACACATATATTTATTATTTTTTTTCTGTCAAAACTCTGAGCCAGATTCAGCAGCTTTAATGAGAATATTGGTCATCAATTTCATTATGAAAGCAGAATTGGTCAAAGATCATTATTAATACTTATGGAAAATGTACCCTCCCAGGGCTCCAAGCTACTTAGAGAGATGAGATGGCCTCGTTTCTTCCAAGGGGGACACAGATTAGTCCAGAAAGTTACATTGTTAAGTGTTTAATCCTCTAGAACAGATTCCCATCATCTCCTCTGAAATCCTGTGGTTACCCACAAACCTTATGCTGAGGAAGTACCTCCCCGTATTTGACCTAAATGTCCCTTTAGCTATTTTATTAAGTCACAAAGCACTATCTCTTGCATCTACAGCCTGAAATAAATTTGGCTGTGATAATAAAGTTCAAAGGGAAATTAATACTTTCTCTCTTCCACCCACTCTAATGATTGCTAAAAACTCATGCTACTTCTTCTTTAGACTAATGCCTACCTACATTCGCAGCCCAACTTTCAGAGGACTGATGCCGGCTAGGTAGAAGAGGTAGCATCAGCCATCAAATTCTCAATCCAGCTTATCGAGAGCCCTAATTCACCCTAATTCACCCATAATCATTCATTTATGATAACTACATCATGATCACTTACTGAAGGCACTGGTCCTAATTTGACAGGACTGGAGGGCATCTTAGAAAACAGGAGATAATTCGGTGAGAAAGTATGAGCAAAGTCTAATTATGCAGGAGCTTGAAGGTCAAGTTGAGAAATTCAGATTGGATATGGAAGCAAATAAGAAAAATTTAGCCTATACCAATGTATTCAGAGTGAAACTGCTGGGACGTGTGATTTTTGAACTTGAGTTCAGGTTCATCCTTCTTTACAGCTATAAAGCGGACAATAAATATGAACATCTCTAATTGCAAGGGGCTGAAAAAGCCAGGGACTTTACTTCAGGGAGAGTAAAAGTCACAGGGAGAGTAAAAGTCTCAGTTTCAGTCTGTTCACATCCAAAGCACTCACTCCACGTCTTACCTTTCTGGATTCCTAGGGGTCCAGTTTGTCAGTACCAGGTCTGAGTGGACCAGGATCGGAGGGAGCCCCAAGTTTCTGGAGACTTCGACAAGGGGAAGGGCAAGGTTTCTTGGCAGAACCTTTTAGATACGAATCCAGATAGATACGATTACGTTATGATAGACGGAATATACGGCTGATAGATAAATCCAGATACATATGACTACGATATGATACAACAGAATATACAGTTAGTATATTCTAGGAAAAAGTGCAGCTGAGGAAGTAGTCGTGGTTGCCCGAAATTCCAGCAATCCTGTGGCAGAGAAAGGATCTGGGCAATAAAACTGGTATTATCTGAGTGATCTGTAAACGCACACTTTGCTCTCATAGTTTTTTCTGTTTACTCTAGTGGATCTATTGTTTATAAGTACAAGCTGAAATTTATATGAATATTACAAAGCTGAAGCACATACATACAGTTACAGTATAAAATAATCTCTGAAAGTTGACTGCAAAGAAGGATATCACTAAATGTTTTGAACATGAACTGGGAACTGAGTTGATAAGTAGTAGGACAAAAATCTCTGTATCTATCTACTTAGCTATAGACACAGATGACTACATAAATATGTTGATGTATCTGTTTATGTGTATAAGACCTCAAGCACATATACACATGCATGTATGAACACACACACACACACACACACACACGTGTGTGTGTTTATGTGTCAATTGGGAAGAGTTATGGGGAGGATAGAACATTTCATCCTGTGTGGCAGCCAACTTTGTCCATCATTTTGTAAGTCAAACCCAATAATAACTTCAAGTAAGTAAGTCACCTCAAGACAGTTCCCTTTCAACCCCTAAGTTGTCTGAGGACCGCTCCAAGGAGACTTATCTGCCCACAAGTCCAGAATCTATGGGAGACCTGTGGGTTTTTTTTTTTTTTTTTTAACTGCAGACAAGGCTAAGTTAGTTTAGATTCAAAAGAACATTCTCATGCTCCCTACCCCCCACTTCCATTTTTATTTCCCCCTAAGATAAAAGTTTCAATTAAAGGAGTCCCTCTTCTGCCTTTGCTTTCCCTTAGATTTTTAGATTAGACTTGGGACAGAACAGTTTTTTAGGTAGAAAACAATAAAGAACTTTAAAGAGTCCCTTGGGAATCAGGGAATGAGGAGGGCAGTGCAGAAGGGAGGTGTCTATTTCAGTGAAAAGTTAAAAGATGAGATGCAGAGAAAGAGGTGATCTGAGACTGTAGACAGGGGCTCCCTGTTCATCTGGAAGTATAAGAACAGACCTTGAAGTTAGAGACTCCTTCTCCTCCCAGGGCTCAGAGCTACTTAGAGAGATGAGATGGCCCCATTTCTTCCAATTCTTTCATATGATTATGGTTTGGAGAACACATGGGAGGTGGGGAGCCTAGTGGAATGGTTGGTAGTGTGCCTAGATTTCAAACTTTCTTATATCAGACACACAATTTAAAAAAAAAAAATAAGGGACGCCTGGGTGGCTCAGTTGGTTGGACGACTGCCTTCAGCTCAGGTCATGATCCCGGAGTTCCGGGATCGAGTCCCGCATCGGGCTCCCAGCTCCATGGGGAGTCTGCTTCTCCCTCTGACCTTCTCGCTCATGCTCTCTCTCACTGTCTCTCTCTCAAATAAATAAATAAAATCTTTAAAAAAAAAATAAGATGTCTTGACATTTAAAAACTCTGAAGCAACTCTATACCCTCCTCCTCTCTCCTTTCTCAGCCTTCCTTCCTTTTCTCATGGGGAGTTTCTCATGTTTACTTGGAAGAAAAGAGGCAAGATCAATCAAGCAAGCCAAATAGGCCAGGGCTGCTCAGTGAACATGAAGTACTAGAACAGTGCTAACTCTGATTCCTGGAAAAGGGACACTTCTGCAAAATGAAAGGGAGTAGTCTTTTCTACTGCTTTATGAAACTCAGAGACTTCACATTATAATCTTCAGGTTGAAACCATAAAATGTTAAGTCAAGATTCAGAAGAGATTTAAATAAATTAGTAAGAGACCAATAATCAGTAGAAAGAAAGGAGTATTAAAAATTAAAATTAATCTTGTTAATGTCAATGAGTACCTCTAGGGAAAGAAGGTTACACTGGTGAATCAGAAGGTCTGAACGTGGACTTGGATTTTACCCTCACTTGCTCTCTGACCGTGGACAAGGACTTTATCTTCTGTAGTCCTCAGCTGTCTATAAAATGGGCACAGTAGAATTTCACTTACCTGATGGGATTGTGAAAATCAAGAGATAATGTATGTGCAGAGGCAGGCAAAATGCCCTAAGAGGTAAGCTATCGTTAAGTACTTTGAGACCTCAGTTGTTGCCTTCAAATACATCGGGAAGCATTATTGCCAGAAAGAAAATAGATGTGAAAGCTAATGAAAGGGAGAAATGGCTGCAAGTTCTAAAAAAGAAAAAAATTAGTTTCTGAGGGGAAAAAATTCTTTCATTGAAGTGGGCCACTTGTCCTTCCTTCAACGGATAGCCGGATAAAAGAACAAGAAGGGACCTGTCTTCAGAAAAACAGTGTGGGGCCAAACAAGGAGGGTATTCCAGGAGCAGTAGAACAGGCAGAAGATAAGGTAGGCATCTGGTTGTCCTTTACCTTTTGGGGCTGTGTCTCTCCTCTTTGCCAGACGTAGCCCATGGTCATTAAGCTCAGAACCAAGTGGGCCAGGCGCTGTTCCCGGTAACTCTGGAGGAACTGGCAGTTCAAGAGGGGCATCTGTTCAAGGCAATACCCACACATTATCAGCTGCAGGGCTGAGGCTGGGCACAGGGGATCTCTAACTTAAAGGGTTCTTCGCATATGGGGAACAGCTTATATTTTTGTGGAGGGAGAAAGAGCCTCCGTGCACTCCCATTCTCCCTCTGATCTGAGGACACCGCAGTATGGAGGGATTCCAGGCAACATTGTTTGGGAAGTACCGAACCACTCCATCCAAGCTCCCAAATGGCCCCCATGGTTGTGCCAGCCCCTGGTCACATCCACCAAAGAGCTGACAGATTGGTCAGAGTGTTCTTGCATAATGAATTCCCCAGACCAGGATTGTTTCCTTCCTGGAGTGTAACCGTGGCAGCTCCCTTGGCATCATGAAAGGCAGACGACAGACCTGCCTTGCAGGCGTTACTCTCTCAGCTTAATTCCCTCCTAAAAGGAGGCCCAGTACACTTGGGAATTTGACCAAATTCCTAGAGGGCATTAGCTGAGCTGGGCCAAAGGATTGGGCAGTCTTGTTGGAACCCTTCCAGTGACCCTGAAGGGGTGTTTTCTCTTCTTCATGTCCTTTACCTGGTGGAAATGTGTCACTTGGAAGTTTACAGATGGTGTCCTCATGAAAGTCACACCCTGCCCACAAGTTACCCTGCCTAAACAAGGACTAGTTTCTCACTTTTGCTTGGAATAGCCTTGCCTGTCCTGGTTGACTCCAACCAACAAGGAGCTGCAGGTTCCTGACACACCCCCTCCCCACCTCTGCTCTCCTCCTTCCCTCCCATGGCTGCCCCAGCTCTAGAAACAGCCTGATCCAGCTCTTCCCGTCTCTGGGGTCCTTAAGTGCCACAAAAGGTGGTGGCGAACGTCTTGTGTATCCTTTTTTTTTTTTTAATTTTATTTTTTCAGTGTTCCAAGATTCATTGTTTATGCACCACACCCAGTGTTCTATGCAGTACTTGCTGTCCTAAATACCTACCACCAGGTTGAACCATCCCTCCACCCCTCTCCCTTCCAAAACCCTCAGTTTGTTTCTCAGAGTCCACAGTCTCTCATGCTTCGTCTTCCCCTCTGATTTCCCGAAATTCACTTTTCCTTTCTTTTTCCTAATGTTCTCCATGTTATTTGTTATGCTCCACAAGTAAGTGAAACCATATGATAATTGACTCTCTCTGCTTGACTTATTTCACTCAGCATAATCTCCTCCAGTCCCGTCCATGTTGATACAAAAGTTAGGTATTCATCTTTTCTGATGGAGTCATAATATTCCATTGTATATATGGACCCTATCTTCTTTATCCATTCATCTGATGAAGGGAATGTTGTATCCTTTTAAGCTCCAGGCACCACAGAGCAGCCTCTGACCCGCTGCTCCTCCCGCCCAGGCTCCCTACCAGCAGCTCATGGAATCCTTTGCTCTCTGCTAGAGGGCAGCCTTTCCGTGTCTGTCCTCCCCACTCAGCTGTGTGCTTATTCTTTCTAAAAATTGGCTCTGAAAGAGTCCCAAAGGCAATGTGCTCTAGGTTCACGTGCTTGCCTGTGTGTATGGGGTTGGGGGTGGTTGCTGAGATGTTGCATTTCAATAGGAAGCAGCCAGAAAATACTAACAATAGTTATTTATTGAGTACTTGTTATAAGCCTCTTAACTAAAGTGTTCCTGAGGCAGGATGCTAAAAACTTCCCAGGCCAGGTCATGTTCCACTTTTCCCCCAAATGCACAGGCCAAAACTGAGTCAGAGAGGCTAAGCACAGGGTCACAGAGTCAGGAGGGACTGAGCCAGGGTACTACTTCAGTTTCGTCCACTATCCCGCTTTCTCAAGTTAATCCTGCCTGGTAGAAATGAGAGCCACATGTATAATTTCAAATTTTCTGGCAGGGACGTTAAAAAAAAATATACTAAAAAGAAACATAACATTTATTTTAATAATGTATTTTTCTATATCAGTATATCCATAATATTATATTATTTATATATATATATATTATAATGTATTTTTCTACATCAGTACATCCATAATATTATTAACACATAGTCAGTACAAAATATTGAAATATTTTGCTCTTTTTATAGTAAATCTTCAAAATCCAGTGAATACCTTACATATCAGTTTGTCTTAACCACATTTCCGATGTTCAATAGCCATAAGCCCCTGTTTACTTATAGTGCCATCTTAGGGTAAAGGAACAAAGTCTGATTTGGGAATGTGGCTCTTGGTTAGAGACTTTTTGGAAATTTCTTGCACATTCCAGAGTCCCTGGGCTCTCCTTTCCAATCAAACACAAATAATTTTAAAAAATGATTTAGAAAAAAATAAACAGCAACAACAAATACTCTTTGTAACAGAAGTTTTTTTCTACAAAAAAACAATGAAATGGTTAGGGAGAGAATGAGTCATAAACTTAATGTTTTCCTGAATTTAAAGTAATGAACTTGATTTCATATTTGTGTTTTATTACAAGAGGGAATGTAAATACAGAAATTGTAAAATGCAATCTCATTACAGTTCTAATTTTCATTTTCCTGATTGTTAATAAATGTTTGCATCTTTCATATGTTACTTGGTCATTCATGTTTGCTATTTTGTAAAATGTTCATGTTTACAGCACAGTTTTTTAACTTGGTTGTTTGTCTTTCTATTTTATCTCCAAGACTTTGTATATCCAGGCTACAATCTTTTTCTTAGCTATATATGTGATAACATCATCTTTCAGTTTATGGCTTGGCTTCTCATTTTCTTTATGGTCTATTTTGATGAATGGAGGCTCTATTTTTTTTTTTTTTAAGATTTTTCAACTTATTTCACACACAGAGAGGGATCACAAGTAGGCAGAGAGGCAGGCAGAGAGAGAGGAGGAAGCAGGCTCCCTGCTGAGCAGAGAGCCCGATGCGGGGCTCGATCCCAGGACCCTGAGATCATGACCTGAGCTGAAGGCAGAGGCTTTAACCCACTGAGCCACCCAGGTGCCCCTGGAGGCTCTATTTTAATGAAATTAAGTCTATCATAAAAATATCCCAGTTTTAGTCATTAGGAAATCTTCCTTAGTCCAAGTACATATTCTTTTAAATTTTCTTCTATAACATTTAAATTTTTGTCTTTTACATATAAATTCTTAATCCATCTGGAATGAACTTATTTTTATGATAAAAATAGCCAATCCAGTGGTCCTCTCTTTTTATTGCCCAGGTAACTGGTAAGACGTTATTTCTGGGTGTGTTTTCGAGGGGGTGTTTTTGGAGGAGAGTAGCATTTAAACTGTAGGCTGAGTAAAGAACATCGTGCTCAGCGATTCGGGTGGGTTTCATTCATTCCATCAGAGCTCAGATAAAATGAAAAAGTGGACGAAGGATGGATTTTCTGTCTGCTTATGCTGAGACAGCCATCTTCTCCTGGCTTGGAACATTGGTGCTCTCCGTGCTCGGACCTTCAGACTCAGGCTGGGACTTAACACTCTTGGCTTCCTTGGCCTTCAGCTTTCCTAAGTCCCTGATTTGCAGGTTGCAGTCTCCATAGTCATGTGGGCCTGTCCCTCCTAATAAATCTTCTTCTCTATGTCTGTATCCTCTTGCTTCTGCTTCTCTGGAGAACCCTGACTAATTCATCTCCTCAAAGCCCCACCCTCTAATACCATCATATTGGGGACTAGGAGTTCAAAATCTACATTCAGTCCATGTACTCTGAGAATTTGACTATTCTCCTGTTCAGAGACAGGCTGGTTATTTCCAGTTTGGGGGATTATGAATCAAGCTGCTATAAACAGTCACATGCAAGCTTTTCCATGCACATTAATTTTCACATGACTTGGGTAGATACTTAGGAATGTGACTGCTGGTTCATATGGAAAGTCTATATTTGACTTCCTGAGAATCTGCCAAACCGTCTTCCAAAGTAGCTGTACTATTTTTTTGTATTCCCATCAGCAGAATGAAAGAGTGTCTCTTGGGGCACCTGGGTGGCTCAGATTGTTAAGCATCTGCCTTCGGCTCGGGTCATGATCTCGGGGTCCTGGGATTGAGCCCCACATCGGGCTCCCTGCTCAGTGGGGAGCCTGCTTCTCCCTCTGCCTCTGCACTTCCCCCTGCTTGTGCTCTCTCTGTCTGTCTCTCTCTCAAATAAATAAACAAATCTTTAAAAAAAAAAAAAGAAAAAAAAAGAAAAAGAAAGAGTGTCTCTTTTGGTGTATATCCTCATCAGCACTTAATAATGCTGAATTTTCTTTTTTGATTTTAGTTATTCAAAGGGGTGTTAAATTGCCACTTAATACTTATTATTATAAATAATCCTGTTACTCCATAAGTAAACCAGTTTTGTTTTTTATTGTTTCCTGATTAAAACTTGAAAATTTTTCTTCTTATTCTAAAAAATTTGAAATTTCACAGGGATATCTATATGTGTCCCCCCAACCCCAATATCTTTCTGATAAAATACTCAAATCTTTCCTAAGATCTGAAAACTTTTTCTTATGTGCTTGAATCTTTGCTTTTCCTCAACCTATGCCACTCTGCTTTGGGGATTTCTACTTTGTAGAATTTGGGTCATCCATTTCTCCTTTTCTATAGTTTATTTTTTTGAGAGTTGATGTTTCTTTAATTTTTGCTTTATACTTTATGAAAAGTGTGTCCTTTTTCTATAACCAATGCTTCTCTGATTTATGTGAGATTATATTGAGTTTTTTGCTTGTTTATTTCTTTGCTCCCCAATAGTTCCTTTTATGTATAACTTCACTTATTTTTACAAAGTAAATAAACTGGAGAGATTAATTAGAATTTCAAAAACATTGATCTTATCAGAGCCATTAGTTGTGAATGTCCAATCCCTTCCTACTGTGTTTTGACTTATTCCTTCTTTTCATATGACATGGTAATTTGTTATTATCGATTCATGTTCAGGGACTGTGGTCAGTTCTATCATAACTAGTAGCTATTAAAGCGTCCCTTAATCATGTTTCCAGAATGCTGCTGTCTCCTCTTGTGTAGCTTCCTGGGAGCAAGTCAGTTGCCTGTAGTGTTTTGTGACAATGGAGTGGAGAAAGGGGACTTGTTCTGGAATAAGATGGATGTATCTAAATAAATAAGCAAGTTTTGTTTGTTTGTTGGTTGGTTTTTTACCAAAATACGGATGGGTTTCCTGGGGCTTTCTAAGAGCAAGGTGGCTAGTCTGGAGGTACTTTAAGATAAAAAATGTAAATCCAGTTATTGTGTTGTCTGTGCCAACTAAAGGGCTCAGGAGAACAATTTTTTTGGTCTGAAGCTCCATGTATGGTCCTGGAAGCCATAATATTTGCTTTTCATGACTGATTTCCAATTGATTCAGTCTTAGCCTATGCTGGTGATGCCTTTTTTTTTTTTTTTTAAGATTTTTTTTTTAAATTTTTAAATAATTGCTACACCCAACGTGGGGCCTGAACCTATATCCTCAAGATGAAGAGTTGCATGCTTTTCTGAATTAGACTGCCAGGGGCCCCAGTGAAGTCTTAAAAGTGGATTCATGTAATTAGATGTTTTATACATAATTAGAAATGTAGAGACTGGCCACAAGTGTTGTAGTAGTTTCCTAGGGCCACCTCAACAATCAAACACCAACTCAGAAGCTTAAAACAATAGAACTGTATTCTCTCACAATTCTGGGCATTAGATGTCTGAAATTAAGATATTTATAAGGTTCGTTCCTTCTGGAGTTTCTGAAGGACAGACAATCTGTTCCCTCTTCCCTTCCCAGTGTCTGGTGATTACCAGCAAATCTTGGCACACTTTGGCTTGTAGATGATGCATCTCTTCTCTCTCTCTGCCTCTATGTTCACATGGTCTTCTTCCCTGTGTATCTGTGGGTCTGTGTCCACATTCCCTTCTTCTTATAAGGACTCCAGTCACACTGGATTAGAGTGCACCCTAATACAGTATGACCTCAGTTACCTTGATTACATCTGCAAAGACCTTATTTCCAAATAAGGTCAGAGTCCTGGGTTCCAAGTGGACAATTTCTGGAGACACACTATTCAACCCAGTAGAAGTGTCAGGGGACTATTTTCACAGCTGTACTAAACTCTTTTGCCAACTTCCATGTTTTTAGTAGCCAGAAGTTAGCTGTACACTCCTGGCCTTTTCTCCCTGTTTTTCACATATGAGGAGCACCAATTCAATGAATCCTTCACTTCACTCTTGACAGTGTAATCAAATAAAGCCTAAGGAAAGCCTGGTGCAGAGAACTGTGTAGTTCACATATAGAACCTTAATCTGTCCTTCTACAAATCATTCTTGGATCCACCTTGCTTTTATGTCTTGCTACTCTTAACTGGGAGAAGGAGGCTACAGAGGTTCAGTTTGCTTTGGTGGTATGCTTTGTGTGGGTACAATACACTCTGATAAAATTTGCTTAATATGAAACAAACATTCTTAAAGTTTCATCCATCTTTGGTACTTTCTCTTGTTCCCTGCACTTAAAGATATTTTCTTATTTTTCTTCTTCTTTTTTTATTTCTTTGGTCTTATTAATGGGACTTTATGCAGCAGGAAAATAAATTCTTAGGTTTAGTTTGCTATCTTCATAAACACTGAAGTCAGTCTCTTACATCTCTTACAGGATTTCCAATCTTATGCCTGCACTTAGCAGGCATCTAGTAAGTACGTTTAAATCCATTAGTATTTAGTATTAGATATTAAATATGTTTAAGTCAGTGATGGAGAATTTGGGGGCATGGGAAAGCTTTCTTGTATCTCTGAAATCTCACAGCACTCCAAATTGGAGAAGAGATCAGAGGGAAGTATAAATATATACTCAATGCTGCTGAATGGCAGGGACAGAAGAAGTGATTTAGTCCCTATAACAATTCCATGAGACCAGAACTTCTCCCCTTCTGTAAAAAAGGAGGTAGAACTACAGGGGTGAAATAATTTGTTTTCAAGTTGATAGCTACTATATAATAAAGCCAAGATTCAAACTCAGGTCTTCCTGAATCAAAGTCATGTTTTCTTGTTACATCATCTTATTTATTACTGTGGGATACTGTAAGTGCTCCAGGGACCAAGAAGTTTCACTGTTTCTTACTCACTCTTGGGAAATAATGCTCCTCTTATCAACTGTTTCTGCAGAACCTACCAGCCTGACTTTATAACTCAGCAATTCTCTTGACTCAACTATTCTATAAGACCCTGATGGTAAAATCAAGGGAGAGGAGTGCCAACCATGTGGCATACAAGGAGGACACTGAGAATTTCAATGCTTACCCTTCTCCAGCTAGATCTTATCCATCAGCTTACCTATAATTCCCAACCAGATGGCCTTCCCTCTGTAAACAAATATTTGTTCAGTGCCTAATGTGTTTCAGAAATTATTTTGTGCAGGCTGTGGAGATTTTCAGGAAATGCATGTGTAATATGAGGAATAAATCATTCCACTCTTCAGAAAAGCCGAAGTCACTTTCTTGGTAATCTCAATGGCAATCGTTGGTGTCCCTGGGTCCATTGACCCATTTTCATAATTCTGAGAAAGAAATGTGGTGTGGGGATGAAAATATGATGATGAGAAGAACTTAAAGAGAAAAAGTACTTAAAGAGACGAGTGAAAAAGGTATACCTTATTTACTCGAGCTTGAAGCTGCTGACTCTGAATCAAATGAGGGAGTTCATTGGCGATTTCCATCCAAGGCCTGAAATGATCTGGAAGTTCTTTCTGCATTCAAAATGGAAACACCTCAGTATTTTATTTTATTTTTTTAAAGATTTTATTCATTTATTTGACAGACAGAGATCACAAGTAGGCAAAGAGGCTGGCAGAGAGAGAGGAGGAAGCAGGGTCCCCGCCAAGCAGAGAGCCCAATGTGGGGCTTGATCCCAGGACCCTGGGATCATGACCTGAGCCAAAGGCAGAGGCTTCAACCCACGGAGCCACCCAAGCACCCCCATCTAAGTATTTTAGACCTTTCTGGGAAGCAGCCTGGGGGAGTAACTGCTTTCATATTTCAGTTTTAAATTAGAATTCAGGTCAGTTCAGTTCAACAAGTATTGAAAATTCTCTCTATGCTGGGCCCTGTGCTAAGCATTACAAACACACAGATGATTGAAATACAGTCCTTGGGTTTAAGGAGCATGTAATCTAGTAAGTCAGAAAAAAATGTAGCCAGATATATCCCAATGCAGTGTAATACTTTCAGTTATTGACATGTGGGCAAGCTTAAGAACTTGCAAAGAAGAGGAAGTTGTTAATTCTGTTAACAGTTGCGGGAAATAAAGGGAAAGTATTTGTAGAAATATGACAATGGGGGCCAGTGTTAGAGTCTGAAAGTGACTTTGCTGGGGGAAATTTGAAAATGGGAAAGAAGTAAAACAGAAGAGTTCGTGGATATAGGAGAGAGCTGTGCTTCCTGGGACTACAGGTGACTCAGTGTTACTGCAATGTAAAGCTCAAGAGAAAAGGTGATCAGTGATGAGACCAGAAAATCAGATCAAGTGTGCTTTTTATAAAGTGCATAAGAATTTTCTTTCCATGTAGTTGGTGACATGGTTCGATCTGAATTTTAGAATGATAATTTTGTTGATAAGATTTGAAGATATAAAGTCAGATTAGGAAAGCTTTGAAGTACTACTTGAGGACTAAATTTGGACAATGACAATGAATTTAGAAAGGAAATATTCAAGAAATATTTGGAAAGGGGCACCTAGATGGCTCAGTCGGTTAAGTGTCCAACTCTTGATTTAAGCTCAGGGTGATCTCAGGGTCATGATCTCAGGCTAGGGGAAGAATGCTTGTTTTCTCTCCCTCTATCCCTCTCCCAGCTTGCACTTTCCCTTTCAAATAAATAAATAAATAAATAAAATTTAAAAAAAAAAGATATATTTGGAAAGTAAAATTAAAATGATGAGTGATTAAATTTAGAGAAAGGGACTAAGGGCAAGATGACTCCTAGTCTAATAGCATTGACTGTGCTGGACCCAGGGTTTAGCCAAGTAGAACATAGGCTGAATTTCAGCAATCCTAGCTCCATCCCAGGAAATGGCACACTATACCTTCTGCTGTAAATAAACTTATATTGCAACACAGTTACACTCATATGTTTACATATTGTCTACAACTGTTGTCACATTACAGCAGCAGAGTCAGGGAGTTGCAACAAGAAAGCTATATGGTCTGCAAAACTTCAGGTATTTACTATTTGACCTTTTTTTTTTTTTAAAGGTATTATTTATTTATTTGACAGAGAGAGATCACAAGTAGGCAGAGAGGCAGGCAGAGAGAGAGGAAGGGAAGCAGGCTTCCTGCTGAGCAGAGAGCCTGATGTGGGACTCGATCCCAGGACCCTGAGATCATGACCTAAGCCGAAGGCAGCAGCTTAACCCACTGAGCCACCCAGGCGCCCCTTTACTATTTGACCTTTTATAGAAAAAGTTTGCCAACTCCTGATCTATCCCTATGGTCTGGACCTCCTTTTTTCAGAGTATAAACTGCAACTGAATGTTGTATCTGTGGGTTAAGAAGGAGAGGCCATGTAAGGATGATTTCCATGTTTAGGAAATAGGTTACTGAATGTATCAATGGGAACACAGATTGAGACAGAAATGCAGGGAGAGTCAAAGAGAAGGCATAAAAATAGTGAGTTTATTGTTCAGTATTTATAGCCTAGAATGTCAGGATATGGCCACATACTGGACAAGTGCATTTGCAGTTTGAGGTTCAGGAAAAAAATTAGTATTAGAAATGCACAGTTGGGAGGCATAACTGTGGTAATAATTTCACATGAAGTTAAAACCACAAAAGTGTATGAATTCATTAAGGAGAAGTCCCCAAGTGAAAGGAGAAGGCCCAGCTCAGCACACACTGGGGAACAATGGCAAAGCAGGCAGAGGAAGTGAATCCAGAAGCACAGATCAAAAAGAGTTTCAGTGGGCCAGAAGAGAATCACCCTACAGAAGTCTAGACATTAGAAGACATTAGAAGACATCAAAGAAGGGACTTATCAGAAGGTCAGGGTGTTTCCGTGGAAAGTTAAAGGAAGACTGTCCACTTTGGAAAAAAAAAATTAAGAAGGTACCCATGTATATATCAGTCTTTATATATATATATATATATATATAAAATTTAGGTCAGGGTCATGGAAGCAGGGTTCAAATTTTAGTGTGTTGAGGAAGTGAGACCATAGAGACCGAAAGAGTAAATTACTATGTTTAGGAGAGTCTTGGGCTTTAGCAAGAAGTCATGCAGGTTTGAGAGCTATCTCAATTTTAAAATGAGAACATTGAGCAGTTTAGTCTTGAAAGAGGAAGATTTTGAAGATAAAGGACAGACAAGAGTAATCACAGGCAAAATGTCAGGGAAGAAAGGGAAAAGGGGAGTAAAAGGCCAAATGAGGCACCTGGCTTTGAAGTGATAGAAGGTGAAAGTCAGGAGTTCGAGGGAATTTGCTCTTTATGAACTCAATTTCTCACCAAAGGGGACTGAAGTCCAGGTTCTATGACTTGAAGAAAGGGGTTGGTGTTAAATTAATTATAGATGGGAGAAGGAACAAGAAATTAAACATAAAAATACAAACAGTACACTGTCTTATATTATGTACATTATACTGTATTATAATACTATATGAGACCCTGCACAGTTTGAAGAGGTATGGACGTATAAGCTACCCATAAATTACTTGTTAGAGGCGGTCTTCTGTCTCTCAGAATGTGAGACAAATTGGGGTTCAAACTCCTAATTAATTCATAACCTGGGTGAATCTAACGTCCAATCCACAATCTCTGAAAATTAGACTTTATTTAATCCTGTCTTTGCTATCTTTAAAACTGAATCAGTTCAGGACAAACTGAGAATCCCCTACTAGTTTTCACAACAAATTAGATTATACCATCATCATCATAATGTTTTTATTATTTAAAGATTTTATTTATTTATTTGGCACAGAGAGAGAGAGAGAGAGAGAGAGGTGGGGGGACGGACATAAACAGGCAGGGTGGGAGAGGGAGAAGGCAGGCTTCCAACTGAGCTGGGAGCTTGATGCAGCGCTCAATCCAGGGACCCTGAGATCATGACCTGAGCTGAAGGCAGAGGCTTAACAATTGAGCCACCCAGGCACCCCAGCATCATATTAGTTTTATTTTTACTATAGATTCAGATGTCATGGAAAGAAAATTCCATCACACTCTCCTCCGCAGGTGTTCTTTTTTTCTTTTTTTCCTTTAAACTTTTATTAATTTATTTGTCAGAAAGAGAGGGAGAGAGAGGGAGAGAGCACAATCAGAGGGAGTGGGTGGCAGAGTGAGAAACAGGCTCCCTGCTGGAGCCAGATCTGAGACTTGATCCCACAACTCTGGGATCATAAGCTGAGCTATAGGCAGACGCTTAACCAACTGAGCCACCCAGGAATCCCATTCTCACACTTTCTTCACACAACACCCCTGCTTCTGGGAAGGAGTCTACCTTGCTCTGTGCTCTTCTCCCTGGGAGAAAAAGTTTATAAGGATGGTAGTATAATCTTCCCCAGCATTGCTCAGCGATGGGTGCAGAGTCGAAGAGGCCTGATAATTACATTGACACAAGCTTGGGGATTTACAGAGCGGACGCAGAGTTGACTATTAGCAGGAATAAAGGCAGAGACATTTATGGTAAACGGACTCTGAACTGGCAACTTGTTTGTCATCTCATTTGTATAATACCTATGTTTTATGAACAAAAAGTGAATGCAATTTTACAGAGACGATGGAATACAATCTGCATAAAAGAAACAGATGCAGAGTTACAATGTTCAGAGGGTCCTTTTAAAGTGGATTTTAAGGGGCACTTGGATTGCTCAGTTGGTTGACCGTCTTGACTCTTGATTCTGGCTCAGGTCTTGATCTCAGGGCAGGGGATTGAGCCCCATGTGGGGCTCCGTGCTCTGCACAGAGTCTACTTGTCCCTCTCCCTCTGTTCCTGCCTCCCCCCTGCCACACACTCACTCTCTCTCAAATAAATAAATAAAATCTTTAAAATAAAATAAAGTAGGTTTCAACAAGGAAAATTGTAACCAAATCATCACCTTCGGCCTTCCTTCTTTGATGCCTAGGCTAGCGATCCTATTCTGAAAATTAAATGGAGGCATCCTGTATTTCTGCTTTTCTCACCTGCATGGAAATCCATACATACCACCTTCTGCCTTCAGCTAGGCTGCGGTGGAGTATTTACGTTTTCTTTTCCCTAGAGGAATCTCTGCCTTCCTCCTGATTTTTCCTCTCCCCTCTTTAGAAAGAGGGAAACATACCATAAGAGATTCTTAAAAACACAGACGAAGCCAAGGGGTGACGGAGGGAGGGAGGTGGGGGGAGAGGCTAGGCAGTGATGAATGTCAAGGAGAGCACTGGGTGTGATGAGCACTGAGTGTCGTATGCAAGTGATGAATCTTTGAATTCTGCTCCTGAAACCAACAGTGCACGGTGTGTTCACTAAATAGAATTTCAACAAAAATTAGAAAAAAAGAAAAAATTAAAAGTTCTGATGTTTGTGATTCACACATCACACAAACACAAGAAAACCATGCTTTCATGATCATCTGGGCTTTCAAATTGTGCTTCCCTAGTCCAACAGCATGGGAACTTGTTAGAAATGCACGTTCTCAGGCCTCACTCCAGGCCTACTGAATCAGAGACTCTGGGATGGGGCCCAGGGTTTGCTAAACACACCCTGCAGGTGAAGCTGATATGCTC